CGGCGCTGGATTCGCGCGCCGCCTCGGGATGGCGTGGCGCGTGGGCGCGCTGCGCGCGCCCAAATCAGCGCCCGTCTTAACAGTGCGTGGGGGGTGGGGTCTGGGGGGCGGGGGGGGGGTCGCGCGCGGGCGCCGCTCGCGCGGGGTGCGTTGTTGGGTCGCGAACTTCGCTCGCGAGGAATTGCGCGCGGCTTGCTAGTTCAGGTCTGCGGCGGTGCTGATGCGTAGTCGAAGTGCCAGGCGGAATGGGCCGTGGCATTGCAGACCCCGCTTAACGACGCGATCGCGACTTATAATGAGGGCCGCGTCTCGGTGGGGGCGTCTGCCTCCCCAGCGAAGCTCCTCGATGCCACTGAGGAGCGCGGCCTCGGCGAGGTGCGGCGCGTGCGCTCTCCCAAAGCGGCCGTGCCTTTTGACGGCCGCGATGGGGCGGGGTTGGTGCCGGTCGGCGTCCACGTTCTGCTGAACGTCCTGTGCGATCGAGGCTGGGGCTGGGGAGAGTGCAGCAAGGCGTTCGCGCGTGAGATCCATTCGGCTTGCGCCATTTCGCGTGGGTGAGCGGTGTCATTGTAGTGTTGTGTGCGTGTGTGTTCTACGCCCGCGAGTGCGGGTTGCGTGTCCCAGACGGCGAAGTTGGCGCGACCACCCGCGAGTTCAACTCCAATTTTGGCGAAGGGGTCCGACTGGTTGTTGCCGTTGGTTGCCTAACCGAGCGAGCTCGAGGTCGCGACTGTGCGTCGGGGCGGGGTCTCTGCTTCGCATCGGTCTCGGCCGCGTTGGTTAAGACCTGCCCGGGCCTCGTGGAGCTGCTGGCCCGACCGGGTGGCGCCCGCGGTGCGGCTCGCGATGGAGGTCTGGCCCGTCGCGGCCTCCCAGCGGTCGTTCGGCGCCGTCGCGGACTGGAAAGTCGTCGAGAAACTCGCCAGCGTCGGCATGCACGTGGGTTTCAAGACAGAACTTCCGAGCTTGATGACAGGCTTTCGCCGTCCTCCGTCCGACGACAACGACGGAGACGCCGATGCGGGGGTTCGGTTGTCGTTGGGATCGCTCGCGAACGACGCGCGCGTGGGTGGGCGGGTGGTCGGGCGGAGGGTGGGCGGGGGGCGCGTGGGCGTCGCTCGCCCGTGTGATCTCAAATGCGGGTCCGTGCGGCTATCGACTTTGTCAGGTCGTGCAGTGGCGGCTCGGCTGGCGAGTTCGCGCGGTCGCTCGAACCGATGCGGGTGCTCTCGCCAGACGACCTGCAAGCGATGTCCCAGCTGCAGTTCAGCCGCCCGCGCGGCCGCGGTCGCCGCGGGGGCCGCCGTCGTCGCGCCTGCAGCCCGCGGCGAGGGCGGCGCATGGCGGCGGTGGCCTGCGCGTGACGGCCCGTCCCGCGCCCCGCGTCGTGACGGGCCCGCCGCGCATTCGCCGCGCCATTTCGTGGGCAGAGTGCGGCGACTTCTTGGCGGCATGTAGCGCTTGCAGGTTGCGCCGCTCTGCCCGCGCCAGCGGCGATAGCCGCTGGTGCGCCCGGCGGGTCGCGGCGGCGCGCGCGCGCATGCAACCGCGTGGCGTGCGCGGTGCGCGCCCGCGGCAACGACCGCGCCGACGATGACGCGCGGTGGCGATCCTGACTGTGCCGAACACGTTGGCGAAGGCTGCGGTGGCGGTGCCGCCGTCGACGTAGCCGACGGTGACCGCGACGTGCGCCGAGTGTGCGCGCGCCGATGCCAGCGCGGGCATCGCGTTGCACGGTTTAGGCGCGCGGTGTATTTGCATCCGTATCTCAGCCGCGTCCTGAGGTAGTCTGCCACGTGCTTAACCCCCGTGTACATTAATGTAATTCGTGGCGCTTCGCGCGCCCCCTCCATCGTCCAGAACGGGGCGTCGCGTGGAGCGCGTGGCGGTCGTATGGGCATCGCCTGGCGCCCTGTGTGCAGCTGGAGATGCCGCGGGGGCCTCGCGCGCCCCCTTGGGGCCATATTGGAAGAGCTGGCGAAAATAATGGGGGCCCATTGAGTCCCCCCCGCCCCCCTCGGGCGCCCCCAATCATTGCCCCGTGGGCCCCTATCGGATCGCTCTTGGGGCGCTGGCGGGCGGTGTTGGGACAGTCGCGTGGGCCCCCCTGGGCAGTTCTCGTGGCCCGCCCAGGCCCCCTTGGAGCCGCGTTGATGCTGCGCGCAGCCATCGCGTGCAGGAGATCGAGACCTGCGCGGCTCAGTGTTGTCCCACAGGCGTATGTCGGATGTTAGTCTCTCGGTTGCCTCCACGTAAGGCTCTGTGGCAATTTGGGGCCGTCTTGGAACTGTGTCGCCCATGCCTCGAGCATCCTGGGAGCCTTGATGAGCCATCTCGGGCTGCAGTGGGTCATCTTGGATGTCGTCGTGGGCTCCCTGTGGCTTCTGTGGACCCATATTGGGTCCGCCGGGATTATCCCACCCTGCGGGGCGCGCCGTCCAAGTCTATGCGATGGGCGCGTGGGGCGGGTGAACCCATTCCCGGGTGGGGGCGCGGGTAGGTTGGGACATGGCCCGCCCTAAACCACATGCGATCGTATGATCGACGGGGGTTGGGTGTCGATTTGTAGGGATTGATGTGGGCACGCGGGCGGCAGACATCGATGCGCTGTGGCATGGGTGGCCGCGTCGCTGTCAACGCGCCCTCAGCCCCGTGCGTGTAGAACCTACGCGCAGCACGGTCCACCCGCCCCTGTGACCGCCAGTTCGAGCCATGCTCGCGTCTGGGGCCAGTGCGTGGCATACTACCTTAGACATGTACGCGTGGGCGGTCGTGTTACGAGAGGGTGTCCAGTGGTGTTGCAGTCTCGGTTGCAGGTGTTACAAATACCAGGGGCGCCGCGATGCGCCCGCCACTATCGTGACTGCCCACGCGCGACGTTTCAACTGGGCGTATCTTTGAGCCATCTTGCACCGTGTGCCCACTGGGCGCGACGGAGCCCGCGCGGCGAATGTGGCTTGCCACTCCCGCTGGGCGCGAGCGGGCCTGTGTGGCGCGGATGGCTGGCCATTGCGGTTCGGTGGACATGCAGTTTCGCCGCGCGGCGTCACGTGCCTATTCGCCACCCGTCCCACCCACATCATGCAAGCATTCATCATATGCACGTTGCTAATGCAGATGCCACCCGTTACGTGCGACCATGCCACGCCCGCCCGCCACGGCCGACGTCCATCATGCTATCGCCATACTTGCGCATATCATCTCACCGCACTGCAACGTGCCATCACGGCATACCGCTCCGCGCATCATCACCCATATCATTTCGATCCATTCGAGCCATCATCCCAATCGCGAGCGGTGCTGGCGAGGCGGATGCGTGGCCAGTGTCTGTGGCCCAAATGCTGCGGCTGGCCCTTCGCTCGCTCGCAGTGGCGGGCGCAGACTAGCGCGATGCTCATGGGCATGGGCAATGGCAAGGAGCTCGCCGACGAGCCCCGCCGCGCACGCGACCAGGTGCGCACCTTCACTGCCAATGGTGAGGATCACGACGCGAAGCTGCGCCGCTGCGCCAGTTGTCCGCGTCGTGCAACGCGCGTGTCACGAACGTTGAGCCAGCGATGCCGCCTGTCGCGGTGGCAGAGATCGCGGAGGCGATCGACGGCGGCCCATGGACAGACCGTCAGCGAGCAGCTCGGATGATGCTGTTCGGGTCTCTCGGGGGGCCCGCCAAGCAGGGCGCAGAGCGGTCGTTCCAGCGCTGCGTGCGGCGCGCCAATTAAACATCGTCCCGTCTGTGGTGCGTGCGAGCCGTGCTCGCGGCGCCGCGTTGCCTTGCGTGCGCGAGCTGTGCCCGCGTCCCAGGTTCGAGCAGTGCCTCGCGCAGGAGGAGTGGGCGAAGCTCCGCGTGCAGGCCATGACCTCGGCCGCGCGTGGCACGCGCCAGCTGGCGTCGCGTGTGCCGCGCGCACCTCCATCAGTCAGGCATTGTATCGCAGCGAGCACCGCTCGCGTCGCGACGCGCAGTGTGCGGTCTCGTGCGCCAGCGCGAGATTTCGGATTCTTGCCAACAGGGCGTGCCCTATCGTTATAGACAAGCCCCGTTCGAGTTGACCAGCTGGCGCATGGTCGCAGTCATGTCGCGCGCCCAGAGTTCACGCGCGATGTCGCCCTGCAGCGCAGGCTGGCGATGCGCGCGGCCATCGACGTCTGCGCCGCGCGTCGCGGGCGGCGCGCGCACGCGGAGCGCATCGTCAGCTGTCTTGATGTCCGCGCCGAGCTGGGTGCCGCGACCGAGACGTTCGCCTGCGGCGCTGCAGCGCTACCCCAGCCGCTCGACATGATCCCGGGTCGAGTGCCCGCGGCCCCTCCCTGACGACGACGACGCCGCCGACGACGACGGCGACGGCGGCGACGGCGACGGCGACGGCGACGATGACGACGGCGACGACGAAGACGACGACGGCGGCGGCGGCGGTGGCGCCGACCTCCGGGGCCCTCTGGCGACGGCGGCGGCGGCGGTGACGACGACGACCTCTGGAGCTCTCCTCGAGCACCGCGGTGCCACGCCGCGCGCGCCGCGCCCGCAGCGCCGCGCCATGCCCGCAGGGTGGCCATGGTGGGGGGTGGGAAGGGGGCGGTGCCATCAGCATGGTGCGCGCATGTGTGTGTGTGTGTGGCGAATCTGGATCATATGTGCGTCGCTGTCGCGCCCCGCGCGGGCTTCGGTGCGGGGGTGTGGTGATGGTGGTGGGGCGCCTGTGCGCAATCGTGACTTGGCGGGCAGTGCTCGCGTCGGCGCGAGATGAAATCGCGATCGCGTGCGATCGTTTCTGGGTAGTACCATCGCGCCCGAACTCTGCCTCGCGCGGGGCAATGGGGATTCTAGAGCTCGACGCGGTGTTGCCGGCCAGTTGTCGAGCAGAAAAGCGCAGGCGGCTTGGCGCCCCCGAGGTCCTCGAACACGTGTCCGAGCGGTGCCACAAGGATCTCTTGCCTTTAATAGAGGTGGGGCGCGACGATTGGCGTCGTTTCAGCGGCAGTGGCGCCCGCCCCCGTTCGAGGCCGCCCGCTGCCACTGGCGAGACAGAGCAGCTGAAGGTGGCCGACTCCAACGCCGACGATGACATCGCCAAAATGGCCAAGACGGAGCCCGATGATGAGCGGGCCGCGCCCGCTGGCGTCGATCGGGTCGCGCCCACTGCCGCCGAGAGCATCGCGCCCGCTGCCGTCGAGCCGTGGCCCGCTGTCGCTTGCATCAACGCGGTCGGCCATTTGAGCAAAGGCGATGTTGGTCTGCGCGCTGTGCTCGGTGCGTGGTGGACCGTTGGCGACGCGGTTGCCCCCCCCCCGCGCGCGTGTAGACGTTCTCGACGTGGAGCGCGCGTTCAAGGCTGCGCATGATGCGCGCGGTCGCGCGCGGGTGATGCTGCGCCCCGCCGCCGCGGCGATGCGGCGTTCCTCCGCCGCGGTCGCCGCTGGCCGTCAGAGCGCGGCTCGCTTCGCCATCGCGAACGCGCTGATCATTGAGGAGCTCAACAGCAGCAAGAACATGGCGTGCTTCCAGAGCTGGTGGTGCCACGCGGCACTGGCGACACTCAGGAATTCGGGCGTGTCGGGCACGGCGGCCAAGGCAGCTGGGTGCGAGTGGCACGGGAAGGTCAAGACCGTGGGGGGACAAGTACAGGGCGGGGGCGCAAAGCGGAGGCGCGCGCGGGCTCGGCTCGCGGTTCGGCTATGGATGTGCGCGGGGCGCGCGCTATTGTGATTATAGCGCATAGTAGCCGTGTCGTCGCAGTCGGGCTGGCATTGCGATTTGGGCTGCGCTTTGGCATGTCCATCCTCGTTTGACGCCCGCGGTGCAGCTGCATTGGCCCGTGCCCTCTGGGCGCGCGGTGCGCGCGGGCGAGCAGTCGACCAGCCCCGTCGGGCGGGCGCGCCGCGCGCTCGAGGGGCGGTGCCCCATGGCGAAGCGCAAGCACGTGATCTGTCCACGGCGTCGCATGTATCGAAGATCTTGAATCTTGAACCTAGGTGCAAAGAGTTGGGCCAGCCAGAGGGCAATCTCCAATGTAGTATGGCCGTAGGAGTTTCGGGGGAACCAAGAGATACCGATGGCACCACTCCCCAGACTTCTGCCTGGGTGCGCTCTGACCAGAATTTCGAGTCGAATCCAACCGTGGCGACGAGGGCATCCCCGGAGCGCCCAAAAAGGCAAAAACGAGGCCAAGCACTATGGAGGAATAGGGAACGCCAAGAACCAGAAACCGGGAGCCGGGAACCAGGAACGGGGAACCGGGAACCAGACGGGAACCGGGAACCAAGCGGGGTCTGGGAACCCGGAGCCCGGAACAGGGAATTGGGAACCAGGAGACAGGAAACAGGAGCTGGGAAGCGGGAGCCTGGATCTGGGAAGCGAGACCCCGGAACTGGGGGCTGGGAGCGGGGAACTGGTTCGGACAAAAGTGAGGCAGACTCGCAGGCCCAGAGGCTGACACCCGCACCAATATCGGCAGTGTGCTTCCACCGAGGGAAGACGCTTCCGATCTTGGTGATGGTGGTTCTACCTGGGCTGCGTAGGTGGCCGAAACGTCATCACCAAAACCTAGGATCATCTTCCCCTCGTGGAGGCCATCCCCCTTGTGTTGGTGTTGGTACCCCTTCCCAGGCCTCCAAGACATGTTTTCGTCGTTGATTGCTTCTCGGGCCCTCACGAGGTCTCGGGGCCGTGAAATAACGCGTCGGGATGGAAAACTGGGCCCCAACGGTGCCGCGCCCCCCTGTGGCCATTTTTGCTTGTTGATGTGCTATGGATGTGGTGCGTGCGTGCGTGCGTGCGTGCGTGCGTGCGTGCGTGCGTGCGTGTGTGTGTGTGTGTGTGTGTGTGTGTGTGTGTGTGTGTGCGCCAGCGCCGTCTGGGCATGCCTACGACAGGCCAGTTCCAGCGCCGGCGCGAGTCGTGACGTGACCAAGGGGTGGTGGAGAGGGGGTTGGGGGCGGGCCGCTCTCGGGCTTTTTTGTCGCGAAAAGTGGGTTCGTATGCGTCGCCGCCCGCGAGGTGCAGGACCGCTGCCCTGCCCCTCTGCCGCGCAGGGCGGCCCGCCTGGGCGCGGCTGCGCCGGGCTTGGCCTCGCGCCGCAGGCGGCGCCCTGGTGCGGGCAGGCACGCGGCCGCGGCTGAGGGGCGCTGAGCCCTGATCACGTTCGGCGGCCCAGTGAGGCCGCGCGCGCCCGCTCGCCTCTGCACGCTCGCCGGCCGCGCCAGCGCCTGGTGCCGCACGCGCCACCACAGCCGCGGCGCGACGGGAGCGGAGGAGACCGGGGCTCGAGGCCTGCGGGCCCCCCTCGGCCCTCCCGGGCCTCCAGGGGGCCTCTCGTCGCCGCGTTTGGATGCGCCTCAACGGCTTGATCGGGGAGCGCCCAGGTTACGGGTCCTGGGGGGTGATTTTCTCATCCCGCGGGGAGGTTCGAGGACCGAGGCTTGAGGACAAATCAAAGGGACCGTGAGCGGGGGTTTGCATTCGAATCAGCTCGGCTTGCGCTCGACAGCCTTTGGTGTCTGGTTGTCGTAAGCTGTTCTCTGTAGTATATACTTTCCCCAGCTGTCTGCGACAAGGCCCGCCGTAGTGCCAGCCCAGCATTTTGTGTGGCGGCTGTTCGAGGAGTGCACAGGACGGCGTACCATGTGACACCTCGCGGCGACCTCAGGCTTGGGAGCGTCGTGCAATGTGACACTCTTCCGCGTTGTGCTGGGGTCCCTCTCCTCGTGTTCGTAGTTGTCTTTCTCCCCTCCTCTTCTTCCCTTCTCTTCCCTGGGGGCCTCGATGATTGGGGGACTCTTCGGGGGCCTCTTGGAGGCCTCTTTGGGGGCGTCTTGGCGGCCTCGTGGGCGGTCTGGCGCCCTCGGAGTCAGTCCGCCTCGGGGGCCTCTCCGGGCCGTCACGGGGCATTCTTGGGGCCACGAAGGCTCCCATTCCTTGCACTGCGACTGTCAGTCGCTGTCTCCCCCCCCAGCCGCGGCCGCGCATTGCGGCCGCGCCGGCCTCGTGCCTAATGCCGCCCCACGGGCGCCCTTTGGGGGTGCCGGCCCTCCTCTGGCCCCCCAGCTCGCTCTCACTCGGGCCACTTGCGGCGCTGCGCCCTCGGCGCCAGGTCGCCCCCCTTGCGAACGCCCCCGCGCCGCTGCGGGGCCCCTCAGCCCCCCCCGTCGTCTCCTGCTCGAGACCGCCGGGCCAGCTGGGGCTTTGTTGCTGAAGCTGCGCGCGCCGCCTCCGCCTGCCGCGCTGCTCCTCGTCGCAGCCGCCGCGGGCCATGCCGCGCAATTACCAGCCCGACTCCGCTGCCGCCGGCCCCCCCCTGGGTGACGACGATGGTCGGGTCGTCGCAGTCGGTGCTCGGCGGCGCTGCTCTGGCGCGCGAGGCCGCGGGGGGCCCCCCTCGGCCCGTCGCGCTCTTGCCGGCGTCCTCGTTGAGTCCCTTCGCTTTCTGTGGACGGGCTCCGCAGATGGGGCACCCCCGTTCTGCGTCGGCCTCTCACGGTTCCCCCCCCGCCGCCCCAGCCTTGCGCATGAGGTCGCTGGGCCCCCCCCCCGGCCCTGGACGCTGGGCTGCAGGTTTCTTCTCTCCGCTGCCACTCTGGGCGCCCCTGAGGCTGGCCTGCTAGCCCCATCCTGTTCCGGGTGCCCCTGGACTCTTGGGCCTGCGACTCGCCTGAGTTCGCTGCCTCCGCCCGCTCGGGGTTGACGGGCGCTTGGTCCTCCCCCGTGTCGCCTCCCCCAGGGTCGGCTTGTGCCCCTGGCTTTGGCGCCGCCGCCTCCAGCGCAGGGCGTGGCTTTTTCCGCTGGCTCGTCGCTTTCGGTGCTCCTGTGTTGCCCTGGCGGTGCCTCTCCTGCTCCCCCGCCGTGGTGGCGCTTGCGCCGCAGGCACGCTCCCGCTCGCGGCGATCCGGGACCCTTCAGTTGAGCGCCTGCGCGCCCGTTCGTCGTCTTCTTCGGCTACGTCACGATGGTCTTCGAGTTCGTCGGCTTCATGCCCTTCGCCATTTTGGCGCTGCACGTCGACCTGGAGCCCTTCCTGGTCCTCCGCGTTTTCTGAGCCGCAGCGTAGTTCGCTCTTGTGCGCTTGGTGCGTAATTTCGGCCGTTGCAGTGTTGCTTCGTTCTGACGTCGCGCGGCTGTACCGTTTGTTCTGGCGACCAAAACGTACCCCCACCAGCCTATCCAGAAACGATGTCAAGGCGAATTGGGGTGATCAGGGAAGTGCGGGAGCAAAGAGGGGGACGGCCGAACCGTGCGAAGGAGGGGGGAGGAGAAGGAGGAGGCTGGCTGGATGGACGAGGGAATGGGAGAAGGAGGATGCATAGGATGATGATGGTGATGGTGATGGTGATGATGATGGTGATGGTGATGATGATGATGACGATGATGATGATGATGATGAGGATGATGGTGATGATGCTGCTGCTGATGATGATGATGATGATGATGATGATGATGATGATGATGATGATGGTGGTTATGATGATGATGAGGAGGAGGAAGAGGAGGAGGAGGAAGAGGAGGAGGAGGAGGACGAGGAGGAGGAAACAAAATAGGAAGAGGAAGGAGGAACAAGAGGAGGAGGGTGAGTAAAAGGGCCAGAGGTCTCTTGGATGCCTCTCGGAGCCTCTTGGGATATCTCTTGGGCGCTTTGGGACGTCTTGGGGGTCTCTTGGCGGTCCAGGGGGGTTCTTGGGCGTCTTGGGTGCCTCGGGGCGGCCGCTTGGGGTCCTCTTGGGGTCCTCTTGGGGGCCTCCTGGGGGTCCCTTGCGGGCCTCTAGGGACCATCTTGAGGCCATCATGGGGCCTCCGGGGGCCTCCTGGGCGCTTCTTTGGGCCATCTCGGAGGACATCGATCAAAAAAGAGGGGAGCTTGAATTAGGGTTGCCCCCCAAGAGGCCAAAATGGGCCAAGACCCTAGTACAACCAATCACTGTGGCTTCCTCGCCGAGGCCGTGTTGGACGTTCTAACTACCCGCGACCGGCCCCGTCCAGGTCCAGGGGAGGGGGTAGGGGAGGGGTCAAGACCCCCCCCCGCCCGCAAGCCGTCTCGCTCACTCCCACCCGCCCTCCCGACACATACGTAGCACTCGAGTCTGGCCCGAGCCTCAGCATATTCAGCAGTCGTCTTTGGATGAGCAGCTACTGGGGTCCACTCCGCCGCCGCCGCCGCCGCCGCCGCCGCCGCCGCCGCCGCCCCCGCCGCCGCCGCCGCCGCCGCCGCCGTCCCCCGTTGTCAGACCGCCGCCGCCGCCGCCGCAGCCGCTACCGCCACCGCCGCCACCGCCGCCGCCGCCGCCGCCGCAGCCGCCGCCGCCGCCGCTGCCGCCCCCGCCGCCGCCGCCGTCGCAGCCGCCGCCACCGCCGCCGCCGCAGCCGCCGCAGCCGCCGCCGCCGCCAAGGGTATTCTGTATTGTTTTTTGACAGGGATGGTGGGGGGGGGGGCCGTATCGGGTTGGCTGCGCATGTTCCGAATTTGGAGGCAGAGTGTGTTTTGTATTGTTTTTTTTACAAGGGATGGTGTGTGTGGGGTTGTCATGGACCTTGGTTGGCCCCCAGTCGCCTGGGGGAGGGGGTGTTCATTAATAGGGAACAGTGATCAACCCTTCCAAGAAGGGGAAGAAAGGGGTTAGAGGAGGAGCCGGCCTAAACCACCTACACCCAGAGGGCTGGTGGGATTAGCTTGATGGGAATATTCAGTCCTGCCCACCCCGCCCAACGCCCCAACCAAAGTTGGCCCGAGGAATTGCGCCCGGCGGTCGCTTACGCCAACATTTGATGGATGGCAGGGGGGCCACGGACCGCGTGGCCCCAATGCGACCTCGCAGCGATCCGACGAATAACACATGATCCCATGCTTCCTTCGTCAAGTTTTTTCTGGGAGGGTGGTACCACGCATCAGTGAGCTAGGGGGCTCAGCGGCGGATTTGTCATATTTCATGTGTGCACGCGATGTCGGCGTTTCATGAACTTCTGAGCCGGTAGGGATTCCCAACCTGCTGTGGCGTCGCGTGTGTGTAATAGGCGTCCTGCCTGCGTTTTCCGTGGAGTGCCATCTCGCGCGTTTAGCGCTATTTGATCGGCGCGTAGGCCACAAGCTGGCTTGACCCGAGCCAAAATGCCTACGGGTCTCAGTTGTCTGTTCTTTTACGCCACGCGTGTCACATCTCATGTGCTAGGCATCGACGGGCTCTTGCACGCGATGTCGGCGTTTCATGAACTTCTGAGCCGGTAGGGATTCCCAACCTGCTGTGGCGTCGCGTGTGTGTAATAGGCGTCCTGCCTGCGTTTTCCGCGGAGTGCCATCCTTGCGCGCATAGCGCTATTTGATCTGCGCGTAGGCCACAAGCTGCCTTGACCCGAGCCGAAATGCCTACGGGTCTCAGTTGTCTGTTCTTTTACGCCACGCGTGTCACATCTCATGTGCTAGGCATCGACGGGCTCTTGCACGCGATGTCGGCGTTTCATGAACTTCTGAGCCGGTAGGGATTCCCAACCTGCTGTGGCGTCGCGTGTGTGTAATAGGCGTCCTGCCTGCGTTTTCCGTGGGGTGGCACCCTCGCGCGTTTAGCGCTATTTGATCGGCGCGTAGGCCACAAGCTGCCTTGACCCGAGCTGAAATGCCTACGGGTCTCAGTTGTCTTTTCTTTTACGCCACGCGTGTCACATCTCATGTGCTAGGCATCGACGGGCTCTTGCACGCGATGTCGGCGTTTCATGAACTTCTGAGCCGGTAGGGATTCCCAACCTGCTGTGGCGTCGCGTGTGTGTAATAGGCGTCCTGCCTGCGTTTTCCGTGGAGTGCCATCCCCGCGCGTTTAGCGCTATTTGATCGGCGCGTAGGCCAAACTGGCAAGCTGCCTGAACCTAAGCTGGCAAGCTGGCGCTATTTTGTCGGCGGTAGCGTTGACGTGAGGGGGGACGACCTTCTCAGAAAGTGGGGGGTTCCTGAGAAGGCAGAGGCCTTCTTTGGCGGGCCCTTCAGAAGCGTCCAAGACGGCTTCTTGGAAGCCAGGATCGCTAGAAAAGGGGCCAGTGCCTTCTCCCCCCCGCCTTCTCAGACTGCGGCCCCCTCTTGCGCCACCGCCCCTGTGCGCGCCACCAAGTTTGTTGGAGGCCGAGGAGAGAGCGACGTAGGAAAACGGGGCCGTTTTCACCGATCTCGGCGCGTCAGCTGCCCGCGTAAGGACGCGCGTGAGCGCCCTTGCTTCCAATGTGGCGTGCCGCGCTGGCGGCCCGCGCGATAGCCACCGCGTAAGGTCGCTATGCCAAGTTTCGGAAGGCCCGTTTATTTTCGTCGCCCACACGTCGGCGGCGAGCGAGGGGGGGGAAGTGAGAAGGAGGAAGCCTTCTCAGAAGGCGGCGGGGCTTCTCAGAAGACCCCGCGCCTCCCGAGAAGCTCAGGGTGCCTTCGGGGAGGGCTCGGGCAGCTTCTCAGGAGGCCCGCGGACCTCCGAGCCTTCTGAGAAGGCCCGCCCCCTCTCGCTTCCCCCGGGCTCGACCCCGAAACTCGCGTACTGGGAACGTCGCGGAGGTTGCTAAGGGGATAGGGGAGTTATCAACAGATGCCAAGGTGGGTCATATCAGCCCTAACCTAGCTTATAAGCGGGCTGCAGGTGCCCCAAGTGTTTCAGGAGGTTGCGATCCGTTCCAGGTGGGCTCCGCCCACTTGGCGGAGTTCTCCAACCCCCTCACAAGACACCTGGGGCACTTGCAGCCCACTCGAAAGCTGGGCCAGCCCCCGCCGTAATCGACCTTGGCATCCACCGATAACCTCCCTAGCTCACCACCTACCAAACCACCCCAACCCAACCCGAAGGCCTCAATTTGCCCTCCATTTCCAGTGGGGGGGGTCGGGGAACGTTGAAAAAACACATGGAACCCGTACCCCCCCCAACCCGAAATTCGGGTCACATTCGGGTCTTCGGGTTGGGTTGGGGTGGTCTGGTAGGTAGTCACTAGCCTTTTGGCAGCCCGCGCGCCGCTCCCAGTGGGACCCGTCTGTCCTCTCGTCGCCTGCCCGTGGCCGCGGAGCGGCGGGCCCCCGCGGGCGCGGCGCCCCGTCGCCCCCGCGGGCGCCACAGGCCCCGGGTCCCGGGGCGGCGCGGCAGCGGCTCCCCGCGGCTGGGGAGCCCCGCCGCCTCTGCCCGCACCTCCTGCCGATCTCCCTCCTCCTCCTCCTCCACCCTACCTCCTCCTCCACCACCTCTTCCGTTCCGTGCTCGTGTTCCTGCTCCCCCTTCCTCCTTCCGCTCCTCCGGCTCCCCCTCTTCGCGTTTCCCCCTTCCTCCTCCCCCCCCTTCCTTCCGTCCCCTCCACTTCTCCCTTGCCCTTCCCCGTCCCCCTCGTCCCTCCCCTCCTCCTCCTCCTCCTCCTCCTCCTCCTCCTCCTCCTCCTCCTCCATTCCTCAAAAGTGATTTCTCCCTCTCGCACCCCGAGGCCAGTTTTTAGGGTGGGCCAGGCGTTTCGCCTGAGATTCTTCACCATTTATGATTCTGAAGCAGCTTAAATGTAAGCAACAGTTTCACAGATGGAGGGCGGGTAGTTTTCTAAATGTGGCTGTCGCCTTATCGCGGCGCACATTCGTTTTAATCATGTGAAAGAGTTCCACACGGATTGAAGACGGGTCGTTTTCAAAGTGTGGCTCTTGCCTTAGCGCGGCCGGCGCACATTAGTTTTAAACACGTTGCAAGGGTTTCACGGATTGAGGGTGGGTGGTTTTCAACATGCGACTCTCGCTTCAGCGTGGCGCACATTCGTTTTAAACAATTGCAAGGTTTTCACGAATTAAGGCCGGGTGGTTTTCAAAATGTGACTCTCGCTTTGAGCGCGGCGCACATTCGTTCGCAACATTTGCGAGAGTTTCAAGGATTGAGGGCGGGTGGTTTTCAAAATGTAGCTCTCGCCTTAGCGTGGCGCACATTCGTTTTAAGAATTTGCGAGAGTTTCACGGATTGAGGGCGGTTCCTTTTCAAATGTGGCTCTCGCCTTAGCGCCGCGCGCATTCGTTTGCAACATTTGCATGAGTTTTACGGATTCCCATCATCAAGGTACCAGAAATGGTGTTTTGAAAGATTCAGGATTACGCGGGCACCACAGTTACGTTGATTCGCTGTGTTGAAGTCCCAGGAATGGCGTTCTGACACGATTCAGGATCACGCAGCAGTCAGGTTGATCCGTGGCGTTGGAATCCCGAGAACAATGCTTTGGCATGCTTCAGGGTCTTCAAACGGTTGTCTTCAACGAGGCAGTTTCCCAAATGGAAATGAACCGCTTTAGGGGCCTGCGAAGAGGGAGCTTGGAGGGAGGGTTTATTCCAACATCGTTGATGACTCTTGGGTTTAAACTGGTCCTCCTCTTCCTCCTTCTCCGCCTCCGCAGAGGCTCTCCTCCTCTTCCTCCTCCTCCTCCTCCTCCTTCCCCTTCCCTGGATGGTCTGAGACCGAGACCCTGCAGGGCAGACTTCATCACTCAGTGATCCTATGGGCAGGGGGATCCAACACTCGAGATTCGCCCTGCGTGATCGACCCTGGCAGAATGCAGGCCTCGGGCGCAGACCAGACTCTGGACCGAGCGGAAAGCGGAAGTCTGGCGAAGACGGCGAGTGGGGCGTACACAGGCTGATGGCTCAGGGCCTCGGGCTCAGGCGGAGGATTTGCTGGAGGATGCAGGCGGTCAGGGCCTCGGTCAGGGCCTCGGTCAGGGCCTCGGTCAGGGCCTCGGTCTCAGGCGGTCAGGGCCTCGGTCTCAGGGCGATGGCCCCTGCCTGGGCGCAGGCGGAGGATCTGCCGGAGGGTGCCACCTTCTCTTAACGCACCGCCCCGCTCTCGAGCGCCCACGGGGGCCTCCTTCCCATGCCGGTCTGGACGTCAGTCCCGCGTGCAACGGCAGTCGGGACCTGGTTACGTCCTTCCGCACGCAGCACTTGAGGATGGTGATTTTGACGCGCCGTCGACGGCAACACCACACCGGTCACCCTCCGGGGCTTCGCTTCCGGCTCCTGTCCAAGCGCACCTTTTCCTGTGGAAGCTCTTCAGCACCGCCTGCACCCCGCGCCCTCTGGCCGCCTGAGGCCCCGCCCGCCGGCGCCCTGTCTCCCCAAGTAGTGCTTTGCGCGGCCCGCCTAGCTCTTAACTGGAAGAGGCTCGCTCGCGACCCGCAAACCAAAAAGTAACGGCAGTCGCGATGGGTGGCTTTGAGTCAAGCTGATTCTCCTTTCAGGCGCGCACATATGTTGATCGTTAGTTGCACGATGGGGGGTGCAGTGTGGCTTGAAAGTGATGCTCATTGATCCATCGCCAGTCCCTTCGACGCGAAGGCCGTGAGCTACACCATCATCACTTCTTTCGTTACCTCATTAGACAGGGTACCAAATTTCGACATTCCTCCCGAGCGCCAACTGACAGGCGTTATCTGAGACAATTTTTTGCGAGCAGGAAAGCCATGGAAACTGTCTCATCGATTTCCGCGTGCTCCTGGCAGCCTGCGGCGCTGACAGCCTTTCGTGCTTGGCTGCAGGGGGTATCTTATTTCCTCGCCTTGGAAACATGCTGAGACACACTGAGACATGTGATTACATGTTGCTCTGTGCGACAGATCGCGCATGCTGCAGGAGGTGGTTTTGACTGTCAATCTGAATTACGATTTGAAGGTGATCCTACATGAAACGACGAGCGAACACATTCCCGATTTCCCGAGCCGTGCAGCGCCACGCTCCTGAGCACATGGCCCGTGTGAGAGCGGTACTCGGCACTGGCTGCCGCATTCTGCGGCCGTCAGTTGTGCAATCCTTCACGCGTGCAGTGTGCGTGGCATCCAAGCGAGTGCAAGCATCGTCTCTGACGTCTGATTAGGGACGTGGTCATCATGGGCGTGCCGAGTCGGTGCGATTCAACAGCTTCATACAATTGCTGGACTTGCGGGTCGAGTGGGCAGCCCTCGCCAGCAAAGGCATTGGGAAGCCTAGCAGACGATAACGTAATGGACACACAAGCCCGTCGGAGCTAATACCGCATGACGGTCAGTGTCAACCTCAACGCGCAGAGGCGAACTGGCAACATTCAAAGCAATCACGCCCAGAGAAGAGCACAGAACGCTCAAGATTCGGAGAGGCGGTTGACGCACTTCGCCGACTATGCTCTCGTGTCTACCACTGCACCCCGCCAATATTCGATACCAGCAGGGCCACGATTCCTCTGCATATTCAATGAGATACTTTGCACGTACCTGGGTCACACTACATGGAAGCTATTTGCCTAGTAGTCGCGTTCAGCGCCAGCTATCTTCCAGGTGACCATGCACATTACTCCAGACCTCTGCAGACTTGTACCGGTGCCCATTAAGCAGAAACTGCGCTGGATGTAAAACAATTTGGAGAAGGGCTGTCCATACTTTACGGATGCGAATCAAGCTTTGCTTTTGTTGAACAGCTGAGGGGTGGTTTGTTTCTATAAGTCAAGTTTTTGGCGTGCCACTACCTTTTAGGCGAGTGCAACCACCTCCAACGATGGAGAATTGATCGGGGTCAAGCAGGGGCAACTTGGCAAGACTTTGCGCAAGATCGGTCTCTCCGCAGAGCGGGACGGGCCGTTCTCGCGCGGGGGGTGCCGCCCTTTCTTCACAGCGTTTGTGTTCCAGTGCGCTCTGTGTCGCCCCCTCTGCGCCGCCATGTCGTTTTCAAGGACCGGTTGGTAAGCTACCCACTTCAGCAGGTTCCAGATAGGTCTCACCGCGGGCGATCTTCTCTGTACCGAACGATGCGCGTGCCAATCCATTGCTCTGGTTGCCGCCGTGCTTGGTTCTCGCTTCAGCTTCTGGTATCGCATAGGTGCAAGTCGTGGTTGCATACGATTCACGATTCATCGTCTTTTTCCCTCCGCCTTCTTCTATTTTCCGCTCCCCACCCACGGTCACACAATATGATTAGTTGAACTATTGTTATGCTATTTCCCCCGATGGTGAGTTTAGTCGCGCCCGCCTATGTCGTATACATGTTTGAGAAAGGCTTGTCACGAGCTTTGCTTCCGACTTGATTTTTCCCCAGCCATCCTGTGGTTTTGGGTCCTCGTTTTGAAG